ATATAAAAAATGTGTAAGTGAGGGAAATGTGGGACAAATAGGTAAGAGTTAAGTGAGGCCTTCCAGGAAGAAATGAAGCCAAGAGGAGGAGCCGTGCTATAATGAACCACAAGTGGCTCAGCAGAATAAAGCTTCTTTCTGTTGCACCTTCTCCTAGTTCATCCTCCTCCCCCATTCACATCTCTGCTCGCTCCCACCCTCTTCTTTACCATCCCTGTTTGCCACCCAGATGTCCCCCGTCCTCCCATTTGTCTCTTGCTGTGTCTCCCGTCTCGCTGCACCTACAGTGCTGCTGCTTTGTGTCTTGGGGAAACAGAGGCTGATGATGGGAGAGGAAACAAGGGGAGTGTGTGGAGAGGGGGAGAATATTTTGCGTGCAGAAGCTTGCTGGGCACAATGAGGGATGTACAGATGGTGCCTTGGGGGAGCCTAGACAGCACCATGCCTCTGCATTTTTTGGCAATTGAAAGGCTCTTTATCTGTTGTTGCCTTGACTCCTTGGTACACTGCAGTGGCAGCACTGTGGGGCACCCTTGGTACGTTGTTGCCACTGCACAGAAGCCCTTGACTCTGCTGAGCGTGCTGTGCCAGAGAATGGGCTTCTCTTTTTCATTCCCACCTAAGTCTCCCTACTCAGTCCCTAAGTACCTGCACCCAGTTCACCCATATGCATCTCCACACCTCTCCAGTCAACCTCTCATGCACCCCAAAGCCTCATTCACTCTTCCTGTCTCCTGACAGGCTCCCTGCCACATATGGGCTTCCTCACACTGCATCCCCCATCTTCCATGCCATACCATGGGCTTTGTAAGGAGCAGAGCTAGTGAGTCGGGGACCGAGGCTAGCCGCATCCCAGAAAACAGATGCAGTTAAAGGAACGTGACATTTCTGTCAGCTAATCGTGGCTCAGCTCAATTTGATTATTCTCCATGAGAGAGATGAGTTCATGTGTTTCAAAAGTGGCCTGTGTTGGCAAGATGAGTAGAATCTGTCAGTGGTAAAAAGAGAGGGTCTTTGCATTCTGAGAGTTTGAGGAAGTCGGAGGGCATTAGAGAAACTCAAAATAAAAAAAGGAATGCAGGGTAATTTTTTTAAAAGTCTTTTTTAAAACGTTTCCTCTGGAAAAGTTAAAAAATATTTTACTTAAAAAAATCAATATGCCAAATTTGATACATGGCATCTTCCCTCCCCAGCTTTAAGTAGTGTGCAGAGGAAGCTAATGTCATGGGTGATCAGAGATGAGGGTTAACACCTTGAGAGTGAACTTGATCAGTAGAGTGGAGATAGACTGTTATGGGTCAGAGATTGTTTTAGTGCATACCTTTTACTTAGAGATGAGAAGTAGATTAAACAAGTAGTGAATGGAAGAAACATATGATATACAAGCTACTGATTATGATTTTTATTCAGGTAGTACCTATGGGCCCCAATTGAAATCAGGATCCCTTTGTGCTAGGAATGGTGCAAATGCATAATAAGTGACAGTCCTCCTACCCTAAACATCTTATTACAGCACCCAGCATAATGGACTCCCAATCTCTGGTAGCATACAAATGCCTTACTATAAAATAAATACTTACTGAAAATCTAAATCGAAAAGATGAAGGGTGGGAGGTAAAACAAAGGGACAGAATGAGAAGAACGAGGAAACTAGTTAAACAGAAATTGAAAAGAACTGTCTTAAGAGTAAAATGCCTGCAAGCTGCATGGAAATGTCAAAATGCCATAATAGAGGCTCAAACTAAATGTTACACCCCAAATAAAAAATACATCAAGAGGACCCCAAAATGTCCCTGTTAGCAGTTCAACAGAATAGAAGAGATGGTTAGAGACAAAAAGACACGCTTTACAAACTGGAAATCAAATCCTGCTGAGGAAAATAATAAGCCTAAACGCTTACACGTCGGGTATAAAGGTGTAAGTGGGAACGCCGAGAGAGAATTTGAAGAGCAACTAAAAACTACCAGCAAAAAACAAAACCAAAAAAAAGTACTTTAGAAGCAGAAAGCTAGCCAAAAAATCAGATCATCAAAGTGCTACAGGAATACTCAAGGAAGACTAGGCCATTGTGAGGAAGCTAAATGAATTCTTTTCATCAGCCTTCACTCTGGACGATACGAGGAAAATTCTCACACTTGAGCCATTCTGTTTAGGTATCAGATCTAAGGAACTGTCCCAGATTGAGGTATCAGTAGAAAACATCTGTTGAATGTGCAATGGCAGTCAAAAAAAGGTAACAGAATGTAAGGGATAGATAGTAAGACTAGGGATGTTAAATATCAATGAATTGAATAATTGAGTAACCTCATGAATTCTTATCAGTTACTCAACTATTCTATAGTCCCTAGGAGTGGGGCTGCCAGTGCTCTCCAGCCCCACCCCCAAGGAACCCCCTGTCACTCGATAGTGCTGCCTTATATCAGTGGCAGCAGCATGGGGTGCCAGGTGGAAACTGGTCCGTGAGGGGAGCCAGTTTTAAAAACAAGCTTCCCCTGCAGACTGGCTCCCTGTCACCTCACGCTGCTGCCTCTGATACAGAAGCAGCAGTGCGGAGTGGCAGCAGTCCCTGTCTGATGGTAGGAGTGAGCCCCTGGACCCAGCGCAAGCCAGAATTGAGCCGGGCTACCTGCCCACCTGGCTCCTAATACACTTCAAATGCAGAGTCTCAGCAGAGGTAGGTCCCAGACCCAGCACTGAGCTAGACCGCTGGGCAGCCTGCTAAAAAAATTACTGGCAGGCGGAGGGGGAAAAATGCATGTAGTCTAATAGCATTAACCGATAAGCTTTTTCTCCACGGTTAATCAACTGCACTATTACATCCCTAAGTAAGACAGAAAAATATCATACAGCTATGCTATAAATCTATCCTTCAATACTTCATTAAATTCTAGTCACTCCACCTCAAAAAGATATATTAGAATTGGAAAAAGTACAGAGAAGGGCAACAAAAATAATTAAGGGTGTGGCATAGCATCCCTAGGAGGATAGATTATTATAGTGAAACTGTTCATCTTAGAAAAGTGTCATCTAAGGGGCAGAGGGGGAAGGGTGCGTATGATAGAGGTCTATAAAATCATGCCTGGTATGGAGAAAGTAAATAAGGAAGTGTTATTTAGCTCTTTGCATAACACAAGAATTCTGGGTCTCCCAATGAAATTAACAGGCAGCATATGTAAACATAAGGAGATACTTCGTCACACAACACACAGTCAACACTTTCTCTAGGGAAGACTGATGTTTAATTGAAGGCTTTAGTAGCTGGATCAAATATCCACCTAGCAATAAAAATCTGGCACTTAGCAAGGTTGGTGGGCCAGCTAGTCCATTTCATGAAACCATTGCATCAGTGCACAGACTATGAATGTGTACAGAATTACATGTCCAATATGCATACTATCACATCAGCTATGTAATCTGAAGTACAGGCTGTACCTCTCTGTTCCTGGACCAGAGAGCCCTGGGGCCAGGAATCCAGTGGGCAGGGGAGCCAGCATCTGGCAGCCCAGCTGGAGCCAGAGCTGGTGGCCACTGGGCCAGTGTCTAGCAGCAAGGCCAGCATCTGACAAGCCCAGGCAGAGCCTGCAGCCAGGCCAGGGCCAGGGTTGACAGTAGAGGGTCTGATGTCTGGCAAGCCTGGCCAAACCTGGGAGTTTGGCTGGACCAGAAATGGAGCAGTCAGCAGGGAGGGGTGGCAATCTGGGGGACAGGTGGCAAGGGACCTGCCCTTGTCCAGCAAATTCCCTTGTTTGGGACCAGCCAGGTCCCACGAGTGCTGGACCAGGGAACTCCAACCTGTACTAACTTTAAAATCAGTTGCATATACAGCCACTCCCCGAGTTGCGAACGGTCGAGTTATGACCATTCGCACTTACGACCAAAGCTCCATGGAGCGGTCGTAAAGGCGGTCCCTGGGTTACGAACACGACCCACACTTACGAACAGCACGGTCGCATGTAACTCATTGGGGTCTGAGTTATGAACGGATCAAGTTACGGCAAAGTGTTTGGTCCGTTACTCGTTCGTAACTCGGGGAGAGACTCTAGTGTATTCTGAATTGTTTTGTACTCTGTTTTTAAAATAGCTGTCAGCTGAAATACAGGCAGTCCCCGACTTACGCGGATCCGACTTACGTCGGATCCGCACTTACGAACGGGGCTTTCTCACCCCGGAAGTCGGGGCGAGAAAGCCCCGTTCGTAAGCTGCTCCGGTGCCCCTGGTCTGCTGGAGACCGTCTCCAGCAGACCAGGGGCACCAGGCGGGTTCTCGCGCTTCTGAGGCTTTGCCAGAGCAAAGCCTCAGAGGCGAGGGCAACCTCCGCGCGCGC